ACCAATCATAACTAGTTTCTTTGTTCTGGAGCACAAGCAAAAGACTCCCCAAGCATGGGTATTACTTACAGGTACTCACTGATCCGCTAGCCCAAATCTTTGGAACCAGCTTCAAAACATCCATGGCAGATTCACAGGCCATGAGCCGCACAGAGAACGCGAGCGTGCCGCTGTTTTCATGAAAGGATCCACAGCTATGCACCGCCCTCTCCTGGTCATTTTGGGAACTGAAAAGAAATTAAGCGGCTGCCTCGTCGGCAGCAACGCTTTTGCTCCTACACTGTATTTAAAGGGAAGCGGCTGTTTCCTTCACAAAGCTCAGCCCAATCATGAATAGTCATGGCATCCTCCTGACCTCTTTCAAACACACAGTTATCTGCCTCTAACCTTTCCTTCCCCTCCATTCTGCATCAGTTGCACCATGGCTGCTCTTGCTTAATCTCCTTGTTTAATCATTTGCTCGGTTATCCATCCTGTCCATCAGCAGTGCTATCCTACACATATTTACTTGGAGGTAACCTCCCCTCCCGCCCCCAACTTCAACAGGGCATGGCCCTAGAAGAGTGTTCTGTATTATACAAAGTGTAGGAGTGTAGGTTTGGATAGACGTTTTTTTGGATATATATGTGCACTATATATATACATATATGCAAAAAATATCTATCCAAACCTACAACCCTACATTTCTTATAATGACAATTCATTCCAAAATGCAGCAGCCAGACTGCTGATTGGGGATGGTGACAGGGATCACTTAACCACCCCCCCCCATTAAAGCAGCTCCTCTGGCTGCTGATCCATTCCTGGGCAGAATTCAGAGTGATGATTCTAACCTATAAAGCCCTAAATAGCTTGGGCCCAAGCTATCCCAAGGACCGCATCTCCTATAAAGCCCTAAATAGCTTGGGCCCAGGCTATCCCAAGGACCTCATCTCTCTTTCTCCTCAGGCAAGCTTTCCCTGAGTGGATGGCTGCTTGAGTGGGGGGTTTTAAATGGATGGTTGTGCCTCATTGTTTTGAATATGTTTTTAGTGTTGCTTTTGTTTACTGGTTTTTAGTGTAGCATTCGCTTGATTCTTTTTAGCATTTATATACTTACTTTTTTTAGCTTTACATGTTGACTTTTAATTACCTAAGCTGCCTAGTGTCCTTCTTAAACAGAAAGGCAAGGGATGAATGAATGAATGAATGAATGAATGAATGAATGAATGAATGAA